AGCTTATTAGAGTAACAGAATGAATTATATTACAATGCAAAACGATCACTACCATCACTATCACTATCATAACCACCATCACAACCACCATCACCATCACTATCATCATCACTATCATAAGCATCATCACTACCACTATCATCATGACTATCATAAGCATCATCACCATCACTATCATCATGACTATCATAAGCTCCATCACTATCACTATCATCATCACTGTCATAAGCATCATCACTACCACTATCATCATCACTATCATAAGCATCATCACCATCACTATCACCATCACTATCATAAGTACCACCATCACTATCATTATCACTATCATAAGTACCACCATCACTATCATTATCACTATCATAAGTACCACCATCACTATCATCATCACTATCATTAGCACCATCACTATCATCATCACTATTATACGCTCCATCACTACCACCATCATCATCACTATCATAACTACCACCATCACTATCATCATGACTATCATAACCACCATCACTATCATAACCACCATCACCATCACCACCATCACCATCACTATCATAAGCATCATCACTATTATCATGACTATCATAAGCACCATCACTATCATCATGACTATCATAAGCACCATCACTATCACTATCACTATCACTATCATAAGCACCATCACTACAAGTATCATCATCACTATCAAAAGCATCATCACTATTATCATGACTATCATAAGCACCATCACTATCATCATGACTATCATAAGCACCATCACTATCACTGTCACTATCACTATCATAAGCACCATCACTACAAGTATCATCATCACTATCATAAGCACCACCATCACTAGCTCACTATCATATGTACCATCACTATCATAAGCACCACCATCACTAGCTCACTATCATATGTACCATCACTATCATAAGCACCACCATCACTAGCTCACTATCATATGTACCATCACTATCATAAGCACCACCATCACTAGCTCACTATCATATGTACCATCACTATCATAAGCACCACCATCACTAGCTCACTATCATATGTACCATCACTATCATAAGCACCACCATCACTAGC